ATAAGAAACTAAAATCAAATTTCGTCTAAAGAAGGAACCACAAAAGTTTCTTTCAAATCCAAATAAAACATGGTACACATTAATAATCTAAAATGCCCTATAGCTCCCACCTCCACCGACTTGCCATCTCTAACATAGATGTATCTTTCAATATTATTTGGCTTTCGGTAATTCAGGCAACCCCTCATTGAAACACCGATGTTAGTAGTTGCACTAGAGTCTAATCACCAAATGTTTCCAGGTACTGAAGATAAATTGACCTCAGAACAAACCAAACCATGACTCATGCGATTGAAGCGATCCCACTTCTTATAATCTTTCCTCTTTTCAGAGGTACCAAATTCCATAGAAGAAGAAGATTGTCTCATCCTTAATGCAAGGTCAAGATCCATGCAGTCAAGAATAATTTTCATGTTCTCATTCCAATCCTCCTTAAGTTCTATCCCATTTAGGATCTGAACCTTATTCATATTAGCAGATATTAAAGCAATTGTAGCTGGAAAAAAAGAACAAAAATCAAACATTTTAAATATACTCACATAAATAAAAAATGAATCAGTATTGTTGTTCAAATAAATGCATAACCCATCTCAAGATATCCAGTGCATCACCAATATCAAGTCTTTGGATAGTAATATCGACTAGTGGTACTCTTGTCGTAACGACCAAACATTGATAATAAAAATATGTCGAATAATAAACCCCTTTTTGGATTGATTTATTATTCACATGTAGGACCTCATAATTATTACATGTTTACCATTACAGGCGCGTATGAAAATCGGCCAACCACCAATTGTCCTTTGGGTCAATTGATACTCACATGGACAAACATACACACAAACCATAAAAATATTTAACATTTTTCATAAGCAATTGTTATAAAAGAGGTCACTTTGACGACTTTTTTTTATTTCAACTACTTACCTAAAAAAATGTTGAATTAGTGTATAAAAATACATTTCCTAGCCACGAATAAAATTGAACCAAAGAAAAATTGAAATTAAGTCCAAATAAAAAACATCAATGCATTTTATTGTACGGTTACGATGTTATACTAAGTTTAATTTCAAAATATAAAATCACATATATTATTTATAATAAATAATAAATTAAATATATATATATATATATATATATATATATATATATATATATATATATATATATATATATATATATATATATATATATATATATATATATATATATATATATATATATATATATATATATATATATATATATATATATATAATTCTTTTAAACCAAAAAAATTTATAATGCAGTCATTAAAAAGAAAATTAATCTTTGTTTTTATCTTTATACACCACATAGAAAGACTTGGAGAAAAAATTCAACAAAACTATGAACAGTTTCATTACGCACCTTTAGCAGCAAAAGTGCTGGTTGCTAGGTACAATACTCTATATATAGAAATATTTATTTGATCAAAAATATAATATTTAATTATAGTTAGAATATAAACAGAAGAAAACAAAGAGATATGGATGAATTTAGTCGTCCAACCGAACGACTATTATTTGGAGATTATAAGTGGCAAAGAGTATTCTAGTCAAAACCAACAAAAATGCACTATTATTATAATAACAAAAGAGTGTAAGAGTAAAAAAGTTTCCGTATAAGAGCAAATAAAATTGACTATAAATTCAACCTGACATTGAATTTCGAATTCAAGATTTTGAGCACAAAAATTTTGTAATATCAAAATGGATCTCAATTTTAGAACCCAAATTAAAAAAAATCTCATAAACACAACATATATTGACTTATACAATTGGAAGATCAAAGTATCCTAAATAACTCAAAAACAAATTGAATCAGATATCGGTGGCTCTGATAGCACTTGTTAGATTCGTTCAAAATCTTAGGATTTCTACCGATATAAAAATGGCGTAAGCGTAACTGAATTTGCCATTGAGCTTGTTGAAATTTCCGGGTATGTGATCTTCTGATTTGTAGAGTTTTTTAGGGTTTCTTGAATCTCCTCTGATGGGGAGGTAGAGAGAAAACCTCATAAACCTTATTTTGTTCGTACTCTACAAATGGGGACCATAACCCATTGAAATAACCCTAGGGTTATTTCTTAGTTTTCAATATTCTAATTTACCACCTAATCAAATTAGATATTGACTTACGATATCTACACAATAACCTGACCTTTCATAACATTTATGCTTTTAGCCACAAACTTAATATTATATTAATTATACCACTTTAAGTCTTAACTAATTAAAATAATGACACTAACACCTTAAATATTACATTTGTGACCCTAAATTCTAATAAATGTATGTAACACATCGGTACTATCCAGACCAAAATCAATGCGAACGCACAAATTATTATATTTCATGTATAGTTAAAAAATATAAAAACAAATATATTTAAAATAATATATGAATCCAAACACGGACAACATGTGTTAATTTATGTTACTAATTTTTATTTATATAATAAAAATAATATTTAATAATACTATATTATTAGTTGATATTTATAAAACTAAATGGTTGCATAAATATTTTTATAAATAATGTTAAAACAAAATTAATATTTGCATACGGGAAAATATACCGTTAATTCAAATATTTGTATATATGAAAAAACTCTATTTATGCTCTAAATATAAATAAAAATATGTTTTTCTTTTGAAAATAATAAATTTTTTTGACTAAGTAATTTTGCCTTTCTGTTTTTTCATTCTTATTACATTTTAAAAACAAATGCGCGGTATCCGTGCGAACGCACGAGTATCCAAACCAAAATTCGTGAGAACGCACGATTATTACTTTTTTAGTAATTAAAAAAATAAAAGTAAATATATTTAAAATAATGTATGAATCCAAACGTAGACAAAATATATTTATTTATATTATTAATATTTATTTATACAATTAAAATAATATTTATAAATACTATGTTATTAGTTGATATTTATAAAATTAAATGATTGCTTAAATATTTTTGTAAATAATGAAAAACAAAATTAATATTTACATATAGAAAAATATAATGTTGACCCAAATATTTGTATATATGAAAAAACTATATTTATGCTCCAAATGTAATTAATAATATATATATATATATATATATATATATATATATATATATATATATATATATATATATATATATATATATATATATATATATATATATATATATATATATATATATATATATATATATATATATATATATATATATAATTTTATTGATTAAACAATTTTGTCTCTTTGCTTTTTCATTTTTATTACATTTTAGTAACAAATGCGCGTAACACGTGCTAACGCACGAATTATTATATATTTTTTTGTATAATTAAAAATATATATATATATATATATATATATATATATATATATATATATATATATATATATATATATATATATATATATATATATATATATATATATATATATATATATATATATATATATATATATATATATATATATATATATATATATTTAAAATAATATATGAATTCAAATACGGGTAAAATGTGTTTATTTATGTTATTAATATTTTTTTATACATATATTATTGATGTAATCATTTCACTAATATATGTTATTAATGATAAATATTATTTTTAAATAATGAGTGAATGTTAATCTTTTTTCGTAAATTGAAACAATTTATTTATTTAAATATTTTTATAAATAACGTCAAAACAAAAATAATATTACATATAGAAAAATATACCATTCATCTCAATTCTTTTATGTATAAAAAAATTATATTTATAATCGGCATATAAATCAAAATATATCTTTCTTTTAAAAATAATAAACTATTTGGTAAAAAAATTGTTTTTATGTTTTACATTCTTATTATATTTTAAAAACAAATGCATGTAGCAAACCATTACCGATGCGAACGCACGGGTATCCCACTAGTTCTTCACTAGAACAATTGCTTAGATAAGTTTTCTTCAGGCTCAAGTAAAAGGGACTGCATAATTGAAGCTTGGAGCAAGATTATTGTTGCTAGCAAGTTTGTTGAATCAAGATCGTTGAAGATCTTGAGCTTTGACAGTTGAGTAATCTGCATCAATAAAAGGGATTATCGTTTTAGATCTCTCATGACTAAAACATTAGGATGTTAGTGTCCAGGTTAATGATAATTTTTTGTACCAAAATACTTGTATCTTAAAATTTAAAAATAGTGGAAGATGTTACCATTTTCAATGGTGAAAACCATTGAAGAGTGGAGTAGGCATAACGAGCACAAATAATCGAACCGCTATATATCCTATTTACATTTTTGTTTCTCTCTCTCTCTTAATTTTACACCATATATAAAATTTACAAGTTCTAATTTATCCATCTGATAGCCATATTTAATCAGTTATTTTAATGTTTAATATTTATTATTAGTTAAATTACTTTTAATTGCAAACAAATTCCTATGCAACTTCTCCCATTTTCTAACTCAAATATTATTAAGATTGCTAAATCATTTAAATAATTACAATCCATCTGAATATTTTATTTTAATACTTGATTACATTTTGGTATAGTTCTCAGTTATTCATTAATATCCATGGAAGAAAATAAAAGGAATGAACAACAAAAACTATGTGTAAGTCTTAATTTAGAAATTTAATGAAGAAATCTAAACTTGGTACTTTATATTGGGATATCACAGATCAAAAACTATATCAATTAAGTTTTAAGTTTACATCGATAGATTATTTGGATAAGGAAATAAGGTTCCTTTTTTGAGGATTAAATGTTTGGCATTTCTAATTTTAGTAAATCAAGTTAATTATTTTGTGTGGTTTATAAGTTTTCCTTTTGTATTATCACTATTTTGGGAGGTTCATTTTGAAGGGATTGAGGCCATGAAAGAGTTTCTCACATGAACAAGTTTCATGTTTTGGTTTTAATTTCTGGCATGTGATGCATATGCATCTCTGGCTTTATGATCATAATTTCTAGTACTAATCAAGTCGGGTTTCGGGTATGTCAAGAGTCCGCAATGTTTTGCATGGCTTCGGTGTGAAAAACTACATATTCATGTTCGGCGTTGTTCCAATGTTCATTTTTGGAATGTATATACATGGACAGAAAATCACCTACTTTCTTCGGCCATTATGGGAGAAACCACCTAAACCTTTCAATCTCATTCGTCATTACTATAACGACAATGTTACCATGGAGAATCTTTGTCGACTTCATGGTTGGGGAGTTCGCGACAGTCCAAGACGTGTTTATGATGCTGTGTTGTTTAGTAATGAGTTAGAAATACTTACCTTGCGTTGGAAGGAATTGTACCCCTATGTAGCCGAATTTGTGATCCTTGAATCAAACTCTACATTTACAGGAATTCCCAAGCCTCTGATTTTCAAAAAATATAGGGAGAAATTCAGCTTTATCGAGCAGCGGTTAACGTACGGGACGATTGGTGGGAGATTTAAGAAAAGAGAAAACCCGTTTGTTGAGGAAGCATTTCAGCGTGTAGCCATGGATCATCTTCTTAAGATTGCTGGTATTACAGATGATGATTTATTGATTATGTCTGATGTTGATGAGATACCAAGTGCTCATACTATTAATCTCTTACGATGGTGCGATGAAATACCAGCGATCCTGCATCTGCAACTGAAGAATTATCTATATTCGTTCGAGTTTCACTTGGACGATCACAGTTGGAGGGCTTCAGTTCATAGATATGAGTCTGGTAAGACACGATATGCACATTACCGACAGTCGGATAACATGTTAGCAGATGCTGGTTGGCATTGTAGCTTTTGTTTTCGTCGAATAAGTGATTTTATTTTTAAGATCAAAGCTTATAGTCATTATGATAGAGTTAGATTCTCTCATTATTTAAATCCTGAGAGAATTCAGAAAGTAATATGTGAAGGAGCTGACTTATTTGATATGTTGCCTGAAGAGTACACTTTCAGGGAAATTATTGGTAAAATGGGTCCTATACCTCATTCATATTCTGCAGTTCATCTTCCTGCTTTCCTTCTGGAAAATGCAGAGAAGTATAAATTTCTCTTACCTGGAAATTGCATGAGAGAGAGATGACATGAGAAAATTATTTAAGGATGTACATGAAAATAACATTGTTTATCTTTTGTGAGACATTTATATCTTGTAAATACAAGAAATATAGTATATACTTTTCAAGGGTATTTATATTAAAATCCAATTTATGCATTATTTTATGTGAATTCTATTTGAAGATATCACATTCACCTTTCTCATGCAAGTGAATTTCATTTAATGTGTTAAAAACTATGAGATTCTGACATGAATACCAGACACATCAACACCAATAATAATCTGCAAAAATGAATAAATTAAATGTAATCCCAAATATTAGCGTTGTATCAGTATGAGACACTGACACAAACACACATTTTTTAGAACTATCGGAGCTACATAGGTTAAAAGGTCTTTTGACCTAGGTTTCATCTTGGAATGGGATATCTAAAAAGGAATTTGATAAGAAAATAAATGAAGATGAAAAAAATCTCCTAAAAAATTCAATACCAATCAGGCATTAACTTGCCAATACAACATTCTATGGAGTTTCACCTATGTTATTTCAGTGTACATAGTTAAGAACCCCTTACCTAATTGCAAATCTTTACACGGTACACAAACACTTAAAGTGATAAACAAATAGTGATACTCTTTTATCTTGATTCAATGGCATGAGTTTCAGAGCCTCTTAAAAATGATCTACGCCACCAAATTTGGAATGCTTTGCTTAGATTAGGACATTCAGTGCCGTGCCTTGAGAAGTGATGAAACCATTCCATGAACAAAGTGTGTTGTTGTTTTAGAGGCAAAGTAAGAAGTGTCTGACCCATAGCTTCTTGCAAAACCTTTATATCAAGCCCTTTTCTGCATCTCTGCAACCAACCAAAGTCTAACAACATAGGTGCAAACCATGCTTGGAGAAGCCCTGATCTAGCTTCCAAACGACATTGCAATTTTCTTGTAGCCATGGCAACAAACAGAATTGCTGAAACTCTACTGAGTTCATATCTAACCATAGGGGATGCGGTATCATGCATTTTAAGAAGTTGGTGCTGATCAGACCATATATCCACAAAATCCTCTGCTATTTGTCCATCAAGCATGATTTCCACCAACCAGTTAATGTTATCAACCTGTGTTGAGATGCGTTCAATCAATGTTTTACTCGTATCTTTCTTTGTCAATCTTTCATTAGGGACGGTACCTAATGCCTCCTCAAAGAGGCTGATCAGGGAGCCAATGCATGAGTGGCAAACAGAATAGAGATCGTCTTTGCTTAAGTCAAGATGATTCTTCTCGTAGACTGAGCTTTTACAAAGAAGACCCTTAACTAGTGATTTCAATTCATTTCTTGCATTGGCATTGACACAAGTGGTGATGGACCAAACGAGTTGACGTGCTACGTTTGGTTTTGAATCTTCTGAATCATGCAGGTAGAGCCTTCCTAAGATGTCCCTTGTAGTTTCATCATCAAACTTAAATCTTGTAAACAGGTTTCTTAATTTCTCTTCTTCCTCTTCCGTCCAAGGAACAGCCTCCAGGTATTGTAGACACGACAAAACACCCTTGGTGAACATGATGCCTGCAGACACCTAGAGACACAAAAACAGACAACCATGTAAGAAACTAAAAAAAAATTTGATCCAACAAAAACAGTATCATCATGAAGTTCAATTGCATTTTTGTTTTTTGTTTTGTAGCTGTCTTCCTCCATGTCTCATTGTCTCTCCATACTTCCTCCAATGTAATAAAATATTTCCTAAGCCTGATCCAAACAAAATACATTCATTGTCTAAAACCAATGAAACATAGACACCGAAAACAAGACACCTGAAACCGATAATTTTCAGACATAGACACAGACACACCTTTATTCAGAGGTGTCAGTGCTATAGAATGGAAAAACGCTATAAGAAAATATTGAATTAATGCAAGACCGAACTGGGTAAAAACAAGAGAAAACCAAATTAATAACAGTTTTTTTTTTCCTACTATAGCATACATGGTGTAAACTACTATAAAGCAACAATTGCTTATATGTTCCATAATAATCTTCATTAATCATATGCATTCAATTGCATTACATAAAATGATGGATGCATTAATTTCCAGGTTAGAGACAAAAAGACACATTATCACGATTCATCATAATTTATAAAAAAAGGAAAGAAAATAGTAACCTCCAAAACATCAATGGATCTATAAACACCAATATTGAGAAGCCTTTTAGGAACATCATCTTCAAACATAAGCTCAATAGTTTCTCTGAAAACTCCCAAATTATCAACTTCAGGAACTTCAATTCTACACATTTTATTACTACCACTTGAAGAATTACCCTTTCTATAATCCCCAATCAACCCCGCAAAAACCTCCGAATTAGCGCAAAGAATCACCGAATTCAGTTCCAGAACAACACAACCACCGTTCTTCCCTCTCAAACTCATCCTCACGTCGAATCCGTCGCTGATGCCGACAGTGACGTCAGCAACGGAGTTCATCGGAGGCGGCGGAATGGGGTTCGCGATAGGAGCGCGGAAGCTTCGAGATCGTGGAGCGGAATCGAGAACCGGAGAGGGATCGGGAAGAGCGTCTTCAATGGGAGAGACTCTTCCCGGGGATAAGATCCGGCGAGGGTCGATCCGAGCGACAATGCGGGAGCTGGATTTGGAACTCTGAGGGGAGTTCGGTACGGAGGAAGAGAAAGCGGGCTTAGATTGGGCCTCGGGTTTGGGCCTGCGCGGTTTGAAGGGTGGGTTATCTGGGCTTGACGGCGGAACCGCGAAAGAGCAACACCATGTACGGTGTCGGCGGCGATAAGAAGACTCCATAGTGTTGAGTTTCTCTCTCTTAATGGATGAGAGTGTTGCACATGATGGTGTAAGAGGAGGAGAATCGATTGTGTAAAAAAGTGATTATTGGAATTTGGGGCGATTTAATTTATGGGGAAGAGTGAGGTTTTGGTTTTGGGTGAAGAAAACGAGGAAAAGCTAAGTGGTGCTTTTTTGGTTAAGCTTAGTTTTATCACTTTGAGACAATTTGTGCTTTGCCGTTTGCATTTGAGACTGGATTTTGATGCTTTTTTTGGTGCTAATGATTTTGTTATGAGCGCTTTAAGCTCTTTAAAGAATGAGCTGTCAAGATACTATGGTGATGCTAAGTATGCTTAAAATATTAATTTCTTTCTAATGCTACTGGCTACTGATCTAATACGAGATAGTATAAAGGAATTAAATACTTTCTATTGAAAACAATTTTTATATTGGTTTTTTAATCATTATCTTTTATTAAAAATATTCTCACTATTTTTGAAATTTTGTTCTTAGACTTGATGTCTAAGATAAGGTGTACATCAACTTAAACTAGATTGATAGATATTAAGGAATTACAATAAAAAGCAATAAAAAAAAACTTAAAGAGAGTTGTTAATTCAGTTTAATATAACATCATTTATATTTAGAAAACTTTTCAATCTTAGAAAAAAAATCTATTTTCAATAGTATTAGTACAATGAACAGCATGTGTTTAATGCTTATTTTTTAATACTACTCGTGTCTTTTTATTTAGAGTTTTTTTAAATATAAGAATCTCTTTTATTTTATTTTAATCACTACCATATGTATCAATGCTTTCAAAAGATTATAGATGTTGAATTACAACTCAATTAAACAATCCACCTCTATGTTTTGAATATTCAATTTAGGTTGTTTTAGATGTTTATAACAAACAACAATATACAGACTCAAAGAGCAAAAATCCTAGCACACTAGATCTTCAATGTTTGTGTTGTGTGTCTTCAAAGGTAGGGATGGTTTTCTTTAAATAACAATCCATCTTCTGGGTTTTTTCCAATTGGCATTAGATTTGAGGACAACCAGATTTGATTTGCTTTAAAAACATCCACCAAAAGTTTTCATTTGATTTGATCTTCATTTAAATTGATTTGGTCTTAATAAATCTTTTAGCAAATCTTACTAAATAACATCTTGCTAAAAAATACAACAAATAGATGACAAATCTCCTTGGAACCAAATAAAAACGCTTTGGCAAATTTACACATTAAATCTGTCTTCTAGACTGAGGACAGATGTTGTACACATGTTGGAACATCTTGTCCCACATGTTACATCTTCTCCAAAAATACATGTTGTATTACCCATGTTATTTTACCAAATGTATTCAATCACAAGGAACAACAATATCCTCTTTTGGAAATTTTTGGCTAAAATAACTCTTATAATTCTTACAAGATGAGCATGAGTAAATCTTTAAACAATTCTCATTCAAGAGAATACACACAACACATATCAGAGCACACACATAGCAACAGTGAAAGGCTTACACGTAAGCTCACACACAAACATGCTCTAATAGTTGAAGGTCATATGTCATGCCAGATGCTCCACCATGTGAGCACACAACTATTAAAACAGAGCACAAAGTAGCACAACACAAGTAGTAGAGCAACAAAACACACAACAACAAAAGTAGCACATGCACACCATAACACGTACACACAATTCCTCCCCATTTTTTCCACAATTTGGAAAAGGCCAGAAAAATGAAAATCAAAGAAAACAAACATGCCATGGACAAAACTAAGAATTATTATCATAGCAGAATCATTGTTAAAGACAAATAGCCATTATAGACCAACAACTGAAAGCAAATAACATGCCTTTATACAATGGCCAAAAGGAACAAAATCAAACTGAAAGACAACAAGACCTCCAACCTCACTTTCCAAACCTTCCACCTGATGATAGAAAATTGACCTAGTCTTCATCAGCATCTGAGTCAGAATCACTTGCTTGAACAAACTTCCTCCTCAAAGACTTCATCTTTGTCAAAAACTTTTTCCATGTCACAAATGTTCCAACAACTGGTCCAACATGTGGTTTAACCTTTGTTTCTTTCTTTTCTAGTTTAGCCTTCTTTGACTCAAGAACCCTAGAGTTCCTTCTTGATGCATTCTTTACTCCATTAGCTTTTTTCCCAGATTTCATAGTCCTAGTTTCTTCAAAATTTTGACTCATATTTGTAAGAAATTGAAGAACTTCAAAGAAAAGATAATGAGTTGATTTCATAGCACAATAGACAAAGAAATGAGGATTGTTCTTGCTTGTAGCTGTTGAAATTCTTGGAATGATGAAATTTGGAGTGAGCGCTTGAAATAATTGATTGACATTAAATTGACAATAAATGAGCACAAGTAAGAGCTAGTATGAATAGAAGTGAATTTGAAAATATTCATTTTAGTCTCACATAGGAAGGACAACACATATTAGTAGTGCTTATATATTCCAAGTGGGAAAATTGGGTTGGGCCCCAAGGGATACCCAATTTTGTAAAAGAGTGAGGACACACGGCCAAGCCACCATCACACGTATGCACGCCGCCACCGTCGTTTGTCCGGTCGGCCGGCTCGACTTGACTCGCCTCGGTTCGGTTCGGTCTGGTCTTGGGTTGGATCTTGACCATTTAATTTTTGGAACCTGAACTGGTGAAAAAATAATTAATATGAATTTAATTAATTTGGTGGAAATTAATTATTATTAACTAATTAACAATGGAAATTAATTAATATGAAGGTGAAGTGTCATATACGAAAACTTAATCTTAACCTAGTTTTGGCTGAGTTTACTTGCCCTCCAAGAGTCAACGAATGTCTTGCTGATCAAGTGAAAAACAGATAGTTTTGAATGGGCCGATTTCACTCTCCCACGTTTTCTCCCACAATTTTTCTCAATTCGAGTTGGATCCTCAACTTTAAATATTGTCCTTCTCATCAATTGCAATTCGCACCAGATTTCACAATCCAAAATATCTCTCTTCTCTGTCATATTCACTTCTTTTATAATTTTCTTTTCTGTTTTTCGAATGGCTTGTCTGCACCATCAAAGATTGGTTTATCCGGAAACTGCGAGTGGTTTTAACATCATCATCAAGTGGTTTTAACGCCATCAGAGGGTTTATATGTAGAACGATACCTACCGTGAAAGTAGTTATCATACAATTGAACTAGATTGTTTTATCATGAAGGAGTTGTGGTAGTTAGACTGCTTTGCATAATTTTGGGCAGTGCCGTGAAATGTCTTAAAGAGAGCGAAATGTTTCGTGACTCATCTCGGTAACTTCTTCTGTGACTATTTTTAAAATTGTGCAACAACAATTTTAAGACGATTTCAAAAACGGTCATGGCTACCAAAGAAGTTATTATCAATTTTTTCTAACCTTAAGGAAGGTTACCAACATTCTGAGTGAAGATAATCTTGTTGCTCCTTTTGGATCAACTGAACAAACTAATGGTAAGAACTTTGTGGATTCATATGGAAATGCTAAAATTGATGAATCTGTTGCGAGTGATTTACAACTCAAGAAAGAAATCACCTTATGGCATGAGAATGACTATCTCTGGAAGAATTAAATACTGAACGGTCTTGCTAATGATTTGTATGATTATTACAACAAATGCATGATTGATTAACAGGTATGAAAAACTCTGTAAAAGAAGTATGACACCGAGGAAGCCGGAACAAAGAAGTATGATGTAAATTGCTACTTAAAGTATCAGATGGTAAATGAAAGGTTCATGGAAGCACAATGCCACAAACTTTAGAAAATTTCTCATGAAATAATTATATAAGGTATTCCCCGCAAAGAACAATTTAAAATTTCTTTATCATTGGCAAACTGCCCTTGGTTGGAAAGATTTCAAAATTTTGCTTCGGCACAAAACAAAAGAGTTTTCAATCGAGAGTCTGATCACTCACCTCTAAATTGAAGGGGAAGCTAGAAGAAAAGATCAGAAAGATGAAGTCTTAGTTGTTTCTAACAACAAAAAGAAATTCGGTACAGTTCTAAAGCCTACGAGTAAACCATTAAAAAATCAAAACTGCAATGTTGTGAATCAAATTAAAAATGGGAATCCTTCAAGGGCCCCATTTGCTCTGATTGTTAGACAGGAACCCCTACCTCAAATAAATGATGCTCTAGTTTTCACTTGCTTTAATTATGGAAAATCGGGTCATATGGCTAAGAGATGTAAAAGCATGCCTAAACTTGTTGGCTCTAAATGTACAGGTTAACCTAACTAATGAGCAATTCATTGTTATGATTGTTGCACCCCAAAATTTGACCATCAATTATTTACCCATCAAGTGTTTGCAGGTTGATACCTTCATCAGAAAGTTCAAGAGAATTGGTTGAAACCAGAGTTGTGTGTCTCCTAGCTTGAGAATTGTGGGAACTCCTCAGATGATTCAGAGACTTTGAGAATGAACTTGGAGATTTGAGAAAGCCTATGAGATGTCTTGAAAGCCATCATGAAGTCCAGAGAGGTCATTGTGCAAGAATTCAGAAGATTCAACCATGAATGGTAGAATTAGGGTTTTGACTGGGTCAATCCTAGATCAGCTGAAGATTTGGAGAAGGTTGAGACCTAATCCAAGGGCCATGAGATCATGTAATGATGCATAGAGATGTTATAAAGATGATTCCTAGACCAACTTATCATGATTGAAGAGTTTGAGAAGTTCTGAGTTGGGGTTTCTGAGGATTATCGGTGAAAAAACCCTAATTTGGTCCCTATCTTCCAGGCAGTTTTAGCTCAAGATGTGATTGGTATCTCATCTTCCCCACAACATGAATGTTGTAGAGCTTGTTCTTAGCTTTAATTTGAGTGGTGGAAGTCCTTGATAGGAGTTGCAGATCTCAAGTTATGGTTTTGACAAATTACAGGTCATCTGAGGTGTGTGAATCTGGGTCCTTGAAAGTCACCTAACTTGCAGACAACTTTTGCCCTAGTAGGATGATTCCTATGATTTCTTGA